GAGAGAGAGGGAGAGAGAGAATTTTTAATATTTATTTTTTAGTTCTCGGCGGACACAACATCTTTGTTGGTATGTGGTGCTGAGGATCGAACCCGGGCCGCACACATGCCAGGCGAGCACGCTACTGCTTGAGCCACATCCCCAGCCCTACCAGGTCAATTTAGAACCCCAAGAAATCTGGATATTGAAATTAATAGATTGAGAACTTTAGAAAATAACTATGAATATATGTCTAAAGGTATTAAAGATGTCAAACCAAAAATAAGCAAGCAATAAGAGAACATGAAAAATGAACAAATAGAATTTTAAAGATACAATTGGATTAAATATAGCTAAAAAGATAATTAGTGAGCAAGCATATAATTATGAATACACTATCCTGAATGTAGTAGAGAAAGATGAAAAGAACGTAAATTAAGAAACAGAGGGTAGAATTTAAAAATATATAATGCAGAAAGAGAAAGCATATCATGTCTTATCAGAATCACAGAAACAAAGAATACAGACAATGGAGGAAGGGCAATATATAGAAAGAAGATTGATAAAAACTTTCTACAACTGATGAAAAATGTGAATCTACAGATAAGTAAAACCCAACACAAATCAAATACAAAGCAGGCTAAATAAATAAATAAAGCCAGCCAGGCCTTATTCAGAGTAGTGAAACTATAATGCAGCAAAGACAAAGAACATTTCAAAAGCATTTTTAAAAGATCATGTACCAAGAAACAACACCTGAACAAAACTCCAACAAATCTGATCACTTTCTTTTTTCAAGTCTCTTTTGACAGCTTAGTGAAAAAAATCTGAATTCTTCAGAGTTTGGTATTTACGACCTTCTATCAATCTATTACTAATCTATTCTTCTAGGCAAACCTTTTGAGACTGACTTTGAGTATTTTAAAAAATTTATTCTTTTTAAAAAAATTTGTTTTTTTTAGATATACATGACAGTACAGTGTATTTTTTCATACTATACATACATGGAGTATAACTTACTCTAATTAGGATCCCATTCTTGTGGTTGTACATGATGTGGCATTTCACTGGTGGTGTATTCATATTTGAACATAGGAAAGTTATGTCCCATTATTCTACTATGTTTCCTATTCCCACCCTGCCCATTTCGCTTTGTCTAATCCAATGAATTTCTATCCCCTATCTGTTACTGTATGTCAGCATCCACATATAAGAGAGAACATTCATCCTTTGGTTTTTTGGAACTGGCTTATTTTACTTAGCATGACAGTCTTTAGTTCCATCCATATTAACATGATAGTCTCTAGTTCCATCCATAATTCCATTTTTCTTTAGATGGCTGAGTAATATTCCATTGTGAATATATCACATTTTCTTTAATCATTCATCTGTTGAAGGGCTTTGTTATTGTGAATTGAGCTGTTATAAACATTGATGTGGCTATAGATACTGAATTTTTTTTATTGTGGTAAACTATATATAACATAAAATGAGATGATCTCCTGTTATTCTAAACATTTTTTTATTGCTTCTACAAGCTCTGGACCTCTGAGATGCTGTTTTTGCCAGTTCCACTGGCCCGTCACCCCTGCCTTCTCAAATCCTTCTCTAAGACTCTGAAACCTCTCCCAAACACCCCAGATGGATGAGCTCTGGAAACATGGTTGATTTCTCTTATAGCATTTATGCTGCACATTACCTTCTATTACAGAGGCAGCATATATATTTATTTTCAACTAAATTGTCACTTGTGGGGCTGGGGATGTGGCTTAAGCGGTAGTGCGTGCGGCCTGGGATCGATCCTTAGCACCACATACAAAGATGTTGTGTCCGCTGAAAATTAAAAATTAAATTTTTTTAAAAAACATTTATTTATTTAGTTAGTTTTTGGCATACACAACATCTTTATTTGTACGTGGTGCTGAGGATCGAACCCAGGGCCACACGCATGCCAGGTGAGCGCGCTACCGCTTGAGCCATATCCCCAGCCCCTAAAAATTAAATATTAAAAAAAATAAAAATAAATAAATTGTCACTTGTTTAATGGCACATTCTAGGACTTGCAGAGTTTTTCACTTTCTTCTCCCTTTTATTCCCTACCCAGTAGAGAATATGGTATAAATAAACAAAAACTGGTCAGGCATCACTATTCAGAAGGAATTTACTTCAGGCACAGGTCTGTAATAACTTACAGAACCCAAAAGCCATTACTCTCATGGTTCTCCTGGAGCTTAGGACTTACCTGTTTTGGTTGGCAAAAGATGCCTGGTCTATTGGCAGGATGCTTTCAGGCCATGGGGCAGTCTGATTTGGAGGAGCCTGTTGTTGGCTGTACTGAGGTCCCCCCATGTTCATTTCTAGTTCAGATGGCCCTAAAAGAGGAAGAAGAAAAAACCCCCAGATACTTTACATCTTGTAAGAAGGATCTATTTTTGCTATATGATATATAATAAAATATCATGAGGCACTATAGAAGCAACTCAGTGAGACTCTGTCTCTAATTAAATATGAAATAAGGCTGGGGATGTAGCTCAGTGGTCGAGTGCCCCTGAGTTCAATCCCTGGTACCCTCCCACAAAAAGATTTGGTTCATATTTGTTTTATTGATATTTAATGAATTGTAAACTGAAATTGGGAAACAGAAAAGCATTAATCATCTAAATATCATAAAGGTAAATCAATTACATATTAATATAATCAATATTTAAAAATGAAAAATGTTAAAAACATCTAGAGATGTCGAACCTCCCATTCACTTCCATAGCCCACCATCTGCCATGTCATATGGCATGGAACTTTTGAAAAACTCTACTGAACATATATGAAAAGATGAAAGTGAAGAAGGCAAACATGACTGTGTGTTACAATGAAGACAGTTTTGGCTCTGTGTATACCCTGAAAGGCTCTAGGGTGCTGGACCATACTTTTAAGACATAAGTGCTGGTCTAGACCACTTGTACCTAAATTTTTGCTAACTGTACTTGGGTTAGCTCTTCCACCGGAATTAGGGCAGAGTAGAAGGGAGGCCAGACAACTCAACCTGCTCTCTCTCAGAATTTCCTTTAGGTGCTTTCCATATAATGGATGTTATGAGTTTTTAATTATAAGATTATCATTATCTGTAGATCTAATATCTATTACAACAATTTTCTGATGAGTTCATGGCTTGAGTTTGTTAAAAATCAAAAAAATTCAATTATAAAATAATGCTTACAAAGCTCTACCTCAAGCTCTACAGCAAGATGTCCTTTAGTGAAGACTGAGAATACATTAAATTTCTAGATATAAGGATTATTATTATTTTAAAATAAGTTAATCTCTTAAATTTCTCATTCTAATTTTATATAGAAACCTGGGTGTTTTAGCACTTTTTAATGCAACCATTAAATGATAAGAACTTATGTGTGGAACCACTCATTACTTTGAGAGCATCCAATGTAGAAAGACAATATGAATGCCATCTTTCAGAAGTAAGCAAAAATGTGCTAAGCAATTAAGTCACTATGTAAGAAAACTGATGCCAGAGTTATGATGAGAATTCTGTGTTGATTTGTCAAAAAAATCCTGGCATCTTTCTGAATGACTTTACTTTTTATTTATCATGAAACATGTAAATATATGAAAAACACATAAATACTGACTTATCTAAATTATGCTAATATACAAGAAGATTAATAATTTAATAATTTATATACCACAAAATTCCACACTTTTAAAGAATAAAATTCAATGGGTATCAGTATATTCAGAGTTGTATAACCATCACCACTATCAATTTTAGAACATTTTCATTCCTCTAAAAAGAATACCTCCTGCATTAGGAATTACTCCCCATTTCCCCTTACCCCAACCCTAGGCAGCCTACTAGACACTAGCCTAGGCAGACTCTACTGACTTTATAGTATGATTTGTCTATGTTGGACATGTCACAAAAACTGGTTGATATAATCTATCACACCATCAATTTTAACAACATATGTATTGTCTCCAGATAGAATACTGGTGATCCTCACATTCTTGGCTATGTTCTGAGATCCTGTGTCTTTAGTGAGGACCTGGGAGAGTGACTTAATAGCCTAAGGCAGTGGCCCAGGATCCTCATTTTAAGTTCCTGAGAAGATTCTGATCACCATGAAGTTAATTAGAAACTAGAGCTAGACCATTGAACTATTTCTTTATTTAAAAAATATTTTATAATATATATAATATACATATATTATATATAATAAATTATATACATATAATTTATAGTATGACTTCCTGTTTCTCCCCAAAGCTGAAGTTAGATACTTTAATGAAAATAAAAGATCACAAAGGTATTCAGTTTTCTTACATTACTGGAAAACATTTGAAGAGTTCATGAGTCTACCCAGAGTTCCAGCAAAATCCCACTTATGATTGTTTTACACAGCAGGATCACATGCAATCAAACTGCAATTCAAGATCAAGTCTTGAAAGAACTTATAGAGATGATACTCCCTGCTAAGAAAGCATGCAAACTAAAAGCAAAGACCAATGGACTACCTTACCTATATTCATGACCTGAGACTGAAGCATCTGTCTTTGGCCAGGCTGGCTGTTGGGTCTCATGGGGATGCTGGTTGTTGGGTTCCGAATCATACCTCCTTGGATTGGCCGGTTCATGGCACTGGTGGTAGGAGCACAGGTGACTCTTACTGCAGCACTCTGCGGTGCCCATTCCCCAGATGGCATGGTGGGCCGGGAAGTATTACTACTGATCATTCCTGCACGCAAGCCAAAGAAAGCTGAGAGATGTAGTAACTGAAAACATGCTCAGCATGTACAAAACCAGACGATCCTACTCTTTATAAAACAGCCATTCTGTGATCCACAGTGAGCCTGATAGCTAACACCCTCATTGGGGCAGACATGGGGCTCTTGGCTAAGAAATAAGAATGGGCAATTACTACAAAGTTTACAAAACATGAACTTGCCACTCATTATAGTTCAAAAAAGCTGTTAAAATTGTTCCCATATGTATTTAGAAACAGGTGCTGTGGCAAGTGGATAACCCCAACTTCCTTCCTGAGGAAGTGAATCACATTAGCTGACACACACGTCAATGCTTCACTTTCCAAAAGGGAGGTGAGGCTAAGGGAAACAAGGTAAAATCTGATAATCAAATCAATATCCTGTAGACCAGAATCACAGAGAACATCCCCTAATTCTTATAAGATTTCTGAATTCTTGAATCCCTTTCAGAGTATTAGAATTTGGTAAACTTCAAAATTCATCAAGGGCAGCCTCTAAATAATGGGGGAATTGAATCTTTCTGGTATTTACTCTAATTCTTCATAAACAAGATAAGGGAACTCCTAGTTATACATTATATTCCTGATGAGACATATCTAGAATGGGATAGGTAGATTTGTAAACATCCTTTTACACTTGAAATTTTAAGTTATTTGAGCATGCACAACAAAAGGAGCACAGCGTGGGCAAGCAGGATCTGGTGGGTCTGTTCTATCCTGGCCCCTGGGATGCTGGCAATGGCCAAACACTGGCAAAGACTTGACATTCTGAAGGGGAAAACCTCCAAATGATGTCTCTTTGTTTTGAAATGTTTAATGATGCGTACGTAAAGGTATTGCTTTCAAATACATGGCTTACTTTCATTTACTTTGTGATTAAACAACCGACAATTGGGTGTATTTAACTAGTGGAGAGAACATATATGGGTTGTTTCTTGTGAAATGAGAGATGTTCTGAGGATGATCAAGGGTGAAGGGCAATTAGCTAGATTTCAATGTTAATACTTATTTTAAAAACATTTTAAGTTATATTTAAGCTATACAATGATAATTTAAACTATACAATGATATTATAGGAGAAAATATTATGTTTTTCTAAAAATATCTACTATCAAAACAATATTACAATTATAAAAAGACTAGAAAGCAGAAGGGAAAATCATCCACAATTTAATAATACCAATGCAATGATAACTGGAGTAGTCCATTTAAGTTTGTTGGTTGGTTTGTTTTTGGAAGCAGGATGAGGACATCATATGATTCTTATAGCTTGTACACCAGTGATTTTCAGGCTGCCTAGATTTTAAGAGTCCTTCAACAACTCAAAACTTCTTGAACTTTGCTGATAAGGAGCCACCCTTAATAAATCACAGGCTCCTTTTCTCCTCTAGAATTTTATGTAAGTTAACATTTTATTTTTATGAAGCAATATTTATTCATCTTGAAAATAACAAAATGAATATAACACTGTTTCTATAAAATATGCACATGAATGAAGTAGTCAGTGTCAGGTGCAGATAGTGGGCAACAAATAAATAAGTAGTTGAATGAATAAACTACTTTAATACATTACAATTCAAGGTTCCCATGAATTACTTACCAATAATAAGTTTAAAAAACCTATCTTTTCCTCTTAAGTGGAACACTTACATTCAGTTAATTATAATATGTAGGTATAGGCAATTATAATGTATAGATGACATAAAAAAGGATTGCAAACTAGGCTAAAAATACCAAGAATTAAAACACCAGCAACTCTAGATTCTTTTTCTAATATCTATTTCTTTCTTTTTGTCGAGTATCTCATTGAGACAAAGGAAAAAATTACGTATTGAGAGGTTTTCTTTAGGAAAGTTGGCATTCTTCAATAGCTGTAATGAATAGATGATTAGGATGTGGTAGTAATAGCCATCAGTGCTGCTGCAATGATTTTAGGTCTGAATTGGTGGCAGTCAGGGAATATGGCTGCTGCAACAGCTGCGCCTGTGACGGTGACTATTACTTAGGAAACGTGCCTGAGCAATTTGGCAGATACCTGAAATTTAGCAGATGAAGGTATAAATCAGATCACAGGCAACTTCCTATATCTTGAGAAATGGACCCCAGATCTGAAAGTTATTATTAGGCAGGCCAAGCATACTTCTATATTACTAGTTAGAAGTTCATGTGCATGTATATATATATTTTTTAAGACAGAGTCTGGTTGTGTTGTCCAGGATGGTCTCAAACTTGTGGGTTCAATGATCCTCCTGCTCAGCTTCCTGAGAGACTGGGTATATAGGCATGTGCCACCAAGTCTGGCTAAAGTTCTTGGGTTTTAATTTATATTTTTCTGAGTAAGAAATAGATCACCTAGAATTATGAAATGCTGGTTGAATTTTAAACTTTCATTATGAAATTTTCTAAGCACAAATCACCAATTAGTAAAAAATTCTGGGGCTATCAGCAGATTATCACTGGAAGCTAGCAGTCACTAATTTACACATACTCTACACTGTCTAGAAGAGTAACTGAGATAGAAGCGAAATAAACTTAGGCTATATAAGTGATCAGAATCCTCATCAAAGAACAATCATAGGAAAAAAAATGGGTAGCTCACTAGAATGGTTTCTAGTATGCCACTTAAAATTTGTATAATTTCCTTACTTTCCCATGTTTGTTTCTAACAAGTTCCTGGAAAAAGTCTACTAGTTTGATGTGGATAAATACATCATTAAGTTAAATAATACCAATAAAGTAACAGTGCATTTGAGCCCTTACCTGTGCTACTGTTCCCTAAGTTTCCTTGGTTTCCTATCATCCCTTGGTTACCCATCATTCCTGGCTGAGGTATCACTGAGTAGGGACTATTGTTTCTGATTGGTGGGAAAGGTCCAGCACCAGTTGGGCTCTGCAATGTGATGTCAAGTGGTAAATTCTGGTTTGGCAATAACCTGCCCAGTTGCCCTGGTCGTGGGTTATTAAAAGCTAAGGAGAAAACAAATGAAAATTGAAGGTTAATATAAGATAATGGAAAAGAATATTAACAGTAGTAGTGTTTAGGGAAAATGCTGTCTGTAAAATAACAAGGAGATGCATGCCAGGGACCAACTACCCACAGCAAAGACAAATACACAGACAAAATATAAATGCAGCACCAAAATATAGACATGTGATCTAATAATCAATAAGCCTCTAAAAATTCTTGATGAGCTTGCAAAAAAGGGGAAAAAAACCACATTGGTCATATATTTTTCTTCCTAATAGTGACTTTTAATATTCAACTATGCTTTCTAAGTAAACCATTAATGTGTTTTTTTCCCATGTATGTAATTCAATCTTAGAAGTATTGTTTTTTCACAGCAAAGAAGTTATAAAACATCTCTTGTAAAAAGCACCAAACCCCCACACACATGTATTGGAAGTTAGAATATCATTTCTTAACTGGAGTTTCCTAGGATTAGAATTAAATTAAAAATAGAAACTGCCATTGGAAGTTAAAAATCTTTAAGTGTAAACTATGTTACCTGAAGCAGAATTAAATTAAAATTTATTTATAGCTTCTTTAGATTCTGGACCCATTTAGATTTGAAATGATTTTTATGTTAGTCACAGGATTTTTTTTTTTTTTCTTCCTTGTACTGGGGATTGAACCCAGGGGTGCTTGACCACTGAGACACATCATCAGTCCTTTTATTTATTTATTTTTTTTTGAGACAAAGTTTTGTTAAGTTGCTGAGGCTGGCCTCAAACTTGCAATCTTCCTACCTCAGCCTCCTGAACTGTTGGGATTATAGGGATGCATTACCATGCCTGGATAGTTCACAAGAGTTTATTGTGTACTAAGCATTATATTAGTATCACACAGACAACCTGTAATTTGATAACAGTGCTATTAAGCTTTTAACATACTAAGATAATATAAATTACAATTTATAGAGCTGATTTATTAGATAATATCAAGTACTTTATTTTCTCTAAATTATATGAACACAGTCTAAAATAGGACAAATAAAGAGTAAGCTCTTAACAATTCACAGTAGAAATATTTAGAAAAATTAAGTCTGAGAATGGAAATTATGTACATGCTTAACCATGGTTTCCTCAGGGTTAGTCGTCTGGTTTCCATTCAATAATCTGAATACCATTAGGAGTAACAAAGAGGCAGAGCCATGAATCCCCAAGTGGCCTTCATTATTTCTACTGGTTACTGAGAAGAAACTATCTAGTAAGTTTCTTGCCTACATTTCAATTCTTTGGCTTTCTGGAATCTCCCCTCCATTCCTCCATTCCCCCAAATCCTCCATTTCCCCCAAACCTCCATTCCCCCCAAAGTAGGCAGGTTTGAGAAATAACATACAAAAACTCATTTTTCCTTTGTTTTACCAGTGGTCAGGAATCACTTGAGAAAAGATTTAATAATTAAAGATATTCTGTGATTTGGCTAATGATTGCCATTTCTGACTTGAGAACAAAACTTGGGCATTAGGTTAAACTATTTGAAAAGGAAAAAAGACATTTTGTTCACCAACATTAAAGAGGTTATTTATCATTTTATCAATTACAGTTTTGCAGCAGAAAAAACATTTTCTTCTATTCAGAACTATCAGATAACTTCAGATACTAACAGATTGGTAATCTAAGTGTTCATGGTAAATAGTTATCCTCATCTTACAAAATACAAAGATAAAATGGATTTTATAAATAACATAATAAATCAAATTTAAAATATGCTTAGAAAGTTCCATGTCAAACATGTTTATATGAGGATTCCTAAAGGACAGGGTAAGATATGTTTAATGTGTGCAGTTTTATTTATATGTTTAATGTGTGTAATCATACATAACTTACACACTTAAAGAATTTTTCTTAATAGTATATTATTCCCAAGTCAGTATAGCTTCCTAATTTCTATATTCTAAGTATTCAGTTGTGTATTAATAAAATACTTAAATTCTTATTTTAAAATTCACTATCTGAAGGTAGTTACTGAAATGAAGGGAAAAATGAACATCAGTTGAGGAAACTGATTAATGTTGGTCAGTCTCACAACATGCATCATGTTGATTAAATTTCCCATGAGAGAATGTGACAGAGCCACATTCACCAGACTCCACTTTGAATACTGTTTCTGAAAGACTGGGACAGTAGATGGTGCTATTCGATCACAAAAACCTTGAAGTGACTAAGCTATTTGTATCAGACTTCAATAACCTCTGTTTCTGATAGTGATTACATGTGGGAATTTCTTGGCAAAACCACCAATATCTCATACTTACTGCTCTGTGAAATTCGCAATGCTGTTTTCTGGGCTCCAACAGGTGTAACAGGGCTGTTTTCAGCTGTGAGTTGCATGAGGTCATTGATGATGGCTTGCTTGTCAACTGATCCAGCAGGGGCGCCTGGCCTTGTGTCTGGGAAAAGCTGTGGTAATTGACTATTCTGCAAATCATCCAAAATCTCCTCCAAGTTGTCCAGCTCACTGCCAGGCTGTAGTCAACAAACAGAATTCTGAGTTTATCCAGGCCTGTTCTAAGAGTGGGCACCCAGGCCCATTTGCAATCACAGACTGAACTGGTGCAAGTTACCTTGGCCAAAGAGAAGACACAAGTGTACGTGAATATGAGGCCTAATAGGTAACTCACTGTCTTTTTAAAAAATAAATTAATAAAGGACAAATAATTTAATCTCTCAGTCCTGAATTCCCTCATCTAAAAAGAGAGAGATGGATGAATTAGAAAGATCTCTTACCACATTATGATTCATTGGCAATTTATAAATTCCCTCTTTTTTTAATATTTATTTTTTAGTTTTAGGTGGACACAATATCTTTATTTTTTTAATGTGACGCTGAGAATCGAACCCAGTGCATCATGCATGCTAGGCGAGCACGCTACTACTTGAGCCATATCCCCAGCCCCAAATTCCCTCTTTTTCAATGCTAATAATCTATGAGAATATATATTTCCAATTAATTATGAGTGGACTAAATAACTTACAGTTTAGGACAAGGTTTGTGGTTAAGTCTCCCTAAGAAATAAAAAGAACAAAAAACTAATATAAATGTGATCCAAATTTGCACTGTAAATCAGTATTTAGAAAATGGTCATTTCTATTTAGAACTTTCTACCCAAGTAAGGGTGGGGCAGGTGGGAAGCAGTTGCAAAAGAAATGTGAAGTAACTATGAACTAGCTAGGCATTGCTCTTTCAATTTAAGTGATACTTTTTCCTGATTGCACTTTCAGTTTTGAATGACAGTGGCTTTCTCTTTCATTCACCAGTTTAGGTGACAAAATGTAGGAAAGCAAGATAAAAACTGGTCACTCCCAAACACAGCACTTATTGATTTTACAGAAGCCACAGACATGTTTCTTAGGGCTCCTTCCTTTTAAATTCAATTTCAATTACCAACATTAAAGTAGTAAGGCAAGCATCACCAATGTTTTACACCCGGTACTTTTCTTCTTCTGAGAAATTAAACTGATTTCATAGATATTCTTTTCACTAAAACCTATCTATATATGAATTATTTAATATTAGATTGTAATTACATGTAAAATCAGCTGAGTTAAGGCTAGGATTACCTTCCATTGACAAAAAGTGGTCAAGAATGATTTTCTTGATAGGTAGAGAGAAATGCAAGTCAGGCAGCTTCTATAAAGTCTGGATGGACTTTGAATCCTTGACCATGACTAGCCTTTTCCTCTATACTGATGAATCAAAACACATGCCATACATGTTGTGATAATGAGTTGTACTTATAAGCAGAAAGGATTATATCTTCATCCTACATACAATTTCTATCATCCTTGTGGACCTGGGATTTGCTAGGATCATTGCAATTTATGACAAATTTTATATCTACATAAGATATCTTTTGACTGGATATCTTTCTCAAGTTATGAAGGAAAGTCTGAGGTCACATTTTATTTGATTCTTCTCAGAAACAACTAGCCTAGCAATAAACTTAAGAGACCGATTTTCCAAGGAATTCTTAATGTACTGTTAAAGAAATTACAAGATCCATTTCTTGACACCCATTTTTAACAAAAGAATGGGGTATTTCCTCTCTATGAAAGTGTTATGTCTTAGATAAGGGTCAGATCCAAAGTTAGCATCTTTCAGGGTTGCAGGATATGACTGTTTCTTTGACCAAGACCCAAATGAAATAGTTCAGGTAGGGGCTATGTTGCATTTAAAAAGCCTGTTAGTTAACATAAGTTCATGCTATTAAAGCGACAAGGGAACCAAACCCCAGCAAACTTAAGTCACCCACCTGGTAATCACTCAGCTGGGGCATACACTCGTTGAGCTGAATGGTGGCCAAAATTCACACATATGTAAAGTGATCTAACTATAAATCTATCTTTATTATGATTTGCCAAATACATAGGTATGAATGAATTAATACTTTCTGTACATTTATTACCCTCCAAGGACAGTGCCTGCAAGTAGTTGTGCACTCAGTCAACAAGATGAGTTCCTTTTATTACATTAACACTTAATTAAAAAATAATCTTCCCAGGATCAACTAAATTTTCTCAGGGAAAATTTCATAAAAAAAAAAAAAGTTCCATAAGAACATGTGGTAAACATTCTTATAATTTGTTACAAAAATAGTGAGATCAGAAAGAGGCTCTGATAACCTGTGCCATGTACCTCTGGTTCTGTGGAACAAAGTGTCCCTACAATCCTGTCTTGTTAAAAGTATTTTTAAAAAGTGGCTCTTGAGGACTGGGGTTGTGGCTCAGAGATAAGAGTGCTCACCTAACATGCGTGAGGCACTGGGTTCAATCTTCAGCACATAAGTAAAATAAAGATATCGTATCCACCTATAATTAAAAAAATAAATATATTTTTTTTAAAAAGTGGCTCTTGAAACACAATGTGTGGCAGTGAGGGAGGTGGGCTGTCATAAGTGATAAACTGCCTCTTGAGAAAGCTTTGCAGATTGCCTTTAATGAAAAGCATCCGAAACAAATAGGTTTATGTAAATAATAAAAATAAAGTCTATTATTTTTCCCAATGGATGCACATATATTTGCCCCCAGTCCCAGATATGTAAAAGAAGGTCTATGCAAAATACATTAACAACAGTCTGGGCCTAGACTTCCACCTTTCCTTTCTACCATCTTCTCTTTCCCACAAAGAAAACTGTATTATAAACCATCTCAAATAGAATAACAAAATCACAGTTTCAAGGAATTCTAATGATAGAATTTGTAGGTCTTCTTTTATGATCTACTTCTATGTTTAAAATAATGAGTTTAATATAAGCATAATGTCATACACAAATATACATTAAAAATATAATTTGGTGATTTAAATCAACTTATTTCAACTAATTTCTAAATAATTAAAATCTTAAAATTTTACTTATTTATTTATTTTGGTACCAGGTATTGAACCCAGGTGTGCTTAACCATTCAACTACATCCCCAGCCCTTTTATTTTACATTTTGAGACAGGGAATTTGTGGTTCTCCTACTTCAGCCTCCTGAATTATAGGCATATGCCACTGTACCCGGCTAAATTTTATTTATTTTTGTGGTGCTGAAACCTCAGGACTTGTACAAGCTAAGCAAGTATTCTACCACGGACTCATATCCTCCAGCCTTGATTTATTTTTAAAAATATATTTATTAAAATTAAATTGATTTTCAAATTTTGATCTCTGCCATTTTAAAAGTTAGGTCTGGGGTAGACTGCTTGTGCACAAGGCCCTGGGTTCAATCCTTGGCAAGAGTTAATAATTTAACTGTGGACCAGTCTAACTCTAACAACTAAACACATTTGTCTTTAGAAAGCTATGCAAAGGGTAAGGATCTGGCTCAGCAGGGTTCTTGCTTGGCATGCCTGAGGCCCCAGGTTCAATCCTGTCACTTCCCAAAACAAACACAAACCTTATGCAGAGTGGAAGGCAAAGGAATGTGCTGGGGAATGAGGTTGGTCAAATTATGTTATGTGCATGTACAAATATGGCATAATGAATCCCACTATTATGTATAATTATAATGTATCAATAAATAAGTATCTGGGATTTTCTTGGGGTTGTATATCAAAAGGAATTAGTTCTATGGAGACTAATAACTGTAGATATGTTTGAATTCATTCAGCTTGCCATGTGAAAATGCATTGTGAAATTATCCCTACTAGAGATAATTTTGCTTTGCTTATGTTTATTCCTTATAAATTATGACAGTACACTTTTAATATTAATTTGTTATAAGATTACTTTAAAAATTCTTCAAGGAGGTAAAGCTCAGAATATCTGTACCCTTTAGGCTGGTTAACAGTACAATTCAATTACCATAGCATTTTCTTCTGTGTTTTTATAAGTTCTAAAAGGGGTGAATTTTATTACCCGAACTTTCTGATAAAGAATTTCTTCTCCTACATTTTTCTAAGTTTAATTCTCATCAAAAGTTCTTGTCCCTATCTACTTTGCTAGGCACAATTTCTTTGCAAGACAAAAAGATTAATGCCTTCCTTTAAACTGCTTTGCCAAGATACTTCAAAGTTTTGCTTAGGCATCTATTTGAATGCTCAAATTAGCCACATCAATTTGAGTAGTTAGTTTAAACTATTTCAGGCAGAAAATGAGTCAGAAAGATTTTTATAAAAGTTCTACAAAATGAAAAATAGACTTGATTTCTTAAATTTTTCATTTTTCTGGTTTTATGATTTTTTTTTGTGTATCCAATCAGCTTGTTCTCTGAAGAAAATATAAAGAGCACATGTATTTTAGTAGCATGAGTATTCTAATAAATTACAAAGAAGCTTTGCCAAATATTTTAAATAAAAGTGTAATTTCACAATTGCCTAATACAAAATTGTTAATAAATAATAATACAATTCTACCATATTTGGAGGGAAATTTCCAGGACACAAGCTAAAGCATGGTTTGCCTCTCTCTCTAAAGGCGTCAAATATAAGAAGGAATTCTTTTTAGACTGTTTCCAAATCCTGATCATAAGAGTCTGAGTAACATTAGAAAGGACACAAGAGTATCATTTGGTTAGGTATCAACTGTACTCCATTGTGTAAATAACATATGACTTAAGTCAGTAAACATACTGGAAATTTTTCTGTCACTGTTTCTGTTTCCTGTTGGTTAGGAAATGCCATAGAAACATATCTTGTTTAAATATTCTACCCTGTAAAAAATGCTATTTTAGGTATAATAGCACTAGTGAAGTACTTCCTGTCCTTAATAAGTTAGTAATAGGTTAAACACATACTCAGTAAAAGGCTTTTTTCTGAGTCAAAACAACAAGATAGTTTATTGTAATTCAGGCTCACTAACTGTTTTATCTTAATAAATAACTCATTGTATTCTCTTGAAAGAAAGGTGATAGGAGATAGAACTCATGAGTATCTGGGAATGGTGAAGGGGAGCCAGAGGTGAAAGAATCAATGTTTTTTTCTCATGCTAACTTTGATCTAAATTTAGGTAATGCATACTTCCTGTGGTAACTTTTCAAGTTGCAATGTTTTTGATGTTAAAATTGCTCAGCAAAGCAATATTTTTTTTTGGTGAGTTTTAAGAGGGAGGAGAGGGAGGGTGATACCAGGGACTGGTTTTCATTAAGAAAAACCAGTCCCTGGTATCCCTCTTGCTGTGTGTGTGTGTGTGTGTGTGTGTGTACGTACGTACTCTGCTTTTCACTCCACCCAAAATAGCACATCTGTGATTATACTCTGGGCTTTATGTTTCTCAGGTGAAACAGTTCTGATTAGAAAAGTGTTCCTCCTAAATAATAATTACAAAGTGCAAGTCACTAAAGGACTTAAACTTTGCTTTCCTTGTCTGAAGTTAGGGCAATCCCATGTGTAAATAAAGAAATGCCAAATAGTGGTTCCCTTCCCTGGCTTTCCAAATCCCTGGGGTCTAAGGCCTGAGATAGAAACAAATTCTGTGAATGGCAAGAGGGGCTGGCTGGCCACATTAGACATAAAGCTAAGGTGAACCTTAGGAGCTAACATCTTTCCCTCTAGCTTGTGTCAAGACATCTGTGCCTGCCACTCTGAACTGCCACAACTCTGTGAAGTTCCATTTAGTAAACCTTAAAAGATTAAAACATTTACAGCTGTCAGTATGTTTAACACCTCAGTTTATGCAAGACATCGTTATTGCTGAGATCCTGGTTCCCCCAAAGCCATGATTTTACAGTATTACAGAACAGCTGTGATGTAGAACCTTGCATTAACATCTGAGTTTATGGATTAATTCCCTACTGATTATATAATTTTGCTGTTTCCCCTGTGAAGTTCAAACAAAAGTTTGAACAATTCTTTCTGTCCCCAGGAATCATACCAGCTGCTGACATCAAAGTGAAAAAAAAAAAAAAAAAAAAAAAGAAGCTCAGTGCTTACAACTGGCTGGCCTAGCTAGAAAGGCTGTGGCCTCAGTGTTCCTTATGGCATCTCTCAATTCCAGCCCATCTCGGACAGCTTCTGCTGACTCAGCTGAGTTCAAGTCATAGCAAGAGCATGTAGCTCTTCTTGTCCCATCCACTCTTAGTCCCCAAAGATGGGAACACATAAACTATCTACTTGAAAAACTAATTTCAAAGACAAACTTGTGAGCTGTGGGGAGACCTTTGCAGCTTCTTCACTTCTTAACCAATCATGACTTAATAATAAAAATGTGACTACAGAGCATGTCAAGGGATTAAGGGCCAAAGGCCCAGGGTGAAATCTTGGATTATTTAAGCCTCATTCTGTCAGTGATACCCAGGAATGCCTGATGTCAAACCATTAAGGCTGCTCATAATCCATCTTTTTTTTTTTCTTCAAGAAAAACAAATGTTTTACTTTTTTGCTATGATGCCAATCAGCTTAAGAGTCCTATTAAGAATGATTTTGAGTGAAGTGGATTGATATATTTGGAAAGGATATGAAATTTCAAATAGGAGGAATGAATTTATCAATTTATTGTACAACATGCTGCCTATAGTTAATAAGAAATGCATACCTGAAAACTGTTGAAAGTAGATTTTAAGCATTTGCAGTATAAAAAAAAATCAGTGTCTGAGGTAATGCACATGTTATTAGCTTGATTTAGCTATTCCACAATGTATACATATTTTAAAATTTGTATACCACAAATATAGATAATTTTTGTCAATTAAAAAAAAGAATAACTTTGAATATCACCTTGGGTATCTTTTTCAGGGCATTAATTTTTCAGATCGAACAACAGGGAATGTAACCTATTATTTTAATTTTGAATTGATATATGATGGCTCAGGGATAGCAACACTAAGTGAATCTTTATCTCTCCTTCCCTACCACCCATTTTCTCTGATACTTTTTATATCAATGGTCTAAGAAATTCTGTATTAATCACAAGTGTTGGCTGAGAAGAAAGAGAGGCAGAATCATCTTCATTTGGTTTGAAAACCAGTTAAATTCTGACCTTAAAGAAACAAAGGTAATTAAGAGACAATGCAATTAAACCTGCTCTGACAAGGCCCAGTTGGGAGGAAGTGATTATCTCCAAATTTGGGGTAAGCAAACTACAGCTTACCTGTGGGCTGAATCCTACCCAACCCTGCTGTTTTTTGTTTTTTTTTTTTTTTTAAAGTGGGCACACACACAAAATCTTTTGTGCCCTATAAAAACTCTGTACCTTATAAATCAAGTTTTCTGGAGCACAGCTGCACTGTTTGTCCACACAGTATCTTCAGCTGCTTTGCACTATCATGGCAGAGTCACAGCCATTCAAGTCTGCCATGAGACTGTGGCCTGCTAACCAAGACCTGTAACAGGACCACTCCTTGCTAGGAGAGTGTTTGAAACATGCAGCTTCAATGCAAATTAAGCCTGTTTCAAGGTAAGAAGCATAAAGAAGGCGGCTTATTTTTACTGAATCACCAGAGGCCTCCAAATGCCTCTGTGGAGAAAAATCCTTGATGGATCCAGATTAGTGTACCTGGGGAAAAGATATTTCGACACTCACCTGGTCACTGGGCTCAAAGCTCATGTCCTCCTTCTCAGTTTTCATAGCTATTAGTTTTGTATTACCAGCAGGGTCTGTCTTACTATCCAGTCGCTCAAGTTTGGGGGTTATTTCCGGTAAACCAATATCTTTAGTATCATCTTTATCTAGCAAATATCGAAGTAGTGCATTCTCTTTCTTCTTGGGGCTCACTGGCTCTTGTTTAACAGTCACTTCTGACCCAGGAGCTGTGCTGCTGGACTCCTGGCTCAGCTCTTTGCCTGTGGCTTCTGCTGTTAACTTGGCCAAGTCCACAGGGGAACTGCTGTCCTGCAAGAGTCTGTGCAAAATTTTATGCTTTTCCTTGAGCGAGGTCCCATGTGTAGACCCAGATCCAGGCAAGCTCCCTGTGGAGTCCTTGTTTGTGTCCGACAACGAGCTGGGTAAGGGTGAGGGCTCCATCTGGTCAGACTTGGTGGTCAGCAGCTGCAGGAGTTTGGTCTGCCCTTTGCTGTCATGCAGCCTATTCTGTCCCTCGGCTCTCTCCCCGCTTGTGGTCGGGGGCATGCTGGAATCATTTGTCTCCTTTTGCTCTGCAGGATGGCAGCTGCTCTCCGCTTGTCCAGTTGTACCTTCTGATGGCTCCCCATAAAGCCCAAAACAATCTTTGGAGTCCAAGCTTCCCATCTTGCTGAGTGGGGGAGGATTCATATTAACTGGGGAGTTTTGCAAATTGCCCATTTTTAGGTCCGGTGAAGCCAACGATGACCCTAATGAGACCCCATGCCCCTCGCTGAGGGCCTGAAGTGCATTGAGGGAACTGTTGGTATAACTATGGCTATTTCCTGTGCTGCTGCAAACTCCCACAGGGGAATGCAAGCTTCCTGCAGGGGAGAACTGACTGGGTGGGATGCGAGGACTGCCAGCCACTCCAGGACTCATGCGATGCCTTGGTGAAAGCATGGAGTTGGGCTGTCCTGGATTCATGCCAGGGCTGCTTTGAGAGGGACTGTTCATTTTGAGTGCATAGTTACTACCCTGAGGAGTGGTTGCTTGCATTCCTGACACATGGTTCATTCCCCCAGAACCACCAAACCTGCCCATGGGCATGCCCATTTGTTCCTTTGGGCCATTCATGGGAAAATTTATATTGCTACTGAGGGTCATGTCCTGACCTGGGTTCCCACTGCACATGGCCTGATGGGCAGGGCTGCTAGAGCTAATTGGATTCAATGGCTTTCCCATCGCTTGTCCAGTCAGATCCGGATTCATTACACATACATTCTGTTCTCTGTAGAATGAAGAAAGAAAGGTAAGATAAAAGGAAAAATACTTAGCAAGTTGTTATTAATTTTGAAAAATGAGATGGCCTCTTTGGATAGACAATACTTGGATGAAACCATGTGCAATTATGAACAAGACTGAACATGCACAATTTTGGATCAAGAGGGGGTGTTTTTCAGGCAACTCATTAAGATGTCTGTGGTTTTATGGCGGGAGTATGTTTAAATTTGACTATTACCATATTGAAATTGAAGGTACTAGACAGGACATTAGAGGAGTTCCAATTACACAATACATCTTTCTTATGTAACTGAGAGCTCATACTGACTTAAAGAAACGATTCAAGTATAGCTGTCTTTAATTCTTTGCCAGAAATTATAACTCCTAGCAACAGGTACATCCATAAGCTTGGAGAGATCTGACATATATTACTTGGCTCAAAATGGACGTCAAACTTAGAGGGAAAAATCTTGCCCCTAACTGTTGGAGAAACTGCCAGTTACAGAGTCAATAGAGTTACTGCAGCTGTTTGGAATTAGGTCACCTTGTCCAATCCCTCTGCGAATCAGAGCAAGTGCTTCAGAAAACACAGGAGGGAATTCTAGAGTGACCAGTTTGTGACTTTATTCCCCACTTCTGGATAACTCCAAGCCATCCCCTTAACTAATGACTAAAAGCAGGTTTTCTGAGTGTAATGATTTCCCGAGCACCATGAACTTTCATTTTCAGCCTTGGCAGTCACTTATGAGTTACCAAACTTGTTCACAAACCCAAACAAAATAGCTCTCACACAAATTTCAAACATCAGCCTTCAGTTAGGTGGGTAAACTTTGCCACATCTGTAATCACTTTCAAATAGTTTCAGTTTGAGGTCAGATTTATTAACAGTTGGCAAACAGGGCTGCCTGATTTTTTTCATTCCTATATAAGAAAGCAAATAATTGAGAAATGTAATAAAATGGGACTCTTTGGCCCAAGCAACCTTATATATCTTCTGATAGTACCTCATAAAGTTTCACATAACACCCAAATATTTATCTAACTTGAAACTTAATCATTTTCCTAAATGTGTGCTCTTAAACAGTATGGTTTATGACATTTATTTTAAAATCAACATTCAATTTTCTTTATTATAAAAACATTTGTCGCTCTCTAATTGAAAGTCTAATGTTAAGAAATTAAGCATGAGAACAAATCTAAGTATACACATTTGAAAGTTTTAGACTTAGAACACACAACACCAGGAGTCGTCCTACTGGCTCCCATGTGCTTGCCTTGACTACATCAATACTGAAGTGGACCAATTTCCCTTCTCCAGTGTAAAAAGCTGGTCATGTGAGAGCAAAGCTAGAGCTAGCCTTACGTTCTTCTAGCTAGGTTTTAAAATTCACTAGTGTTAAGGCTAAAATTCAAAGGATACTACTACTATGCTGGTTTTTAGCCAACTGTTAATAACAATTTTATAGTTTCTATTACTGGGATGGATGAACAGAAATACCTAACAAACCCGTAGAATTCTATGATGATTTGTTGCTTTTGTAACATTTCCTTTCAACTGGGTAAGAAAAAATGAGTTCTTAGAACTAGGATTACCTGTGAAGCATATGTAAAGATATTACAAGCTGAGGCTCATTAGTAGTCTGAGAACGGATGAGTTTGCTCTTCGTTTGTGCAGCAACAAGAGTGCCATCAGACAAGGAAAAACGATAGATTTGACTGAACGCCAGTCCTTGTCTCAGTACTGCAGGCAAACAGGGAAAAAGAATGCATGTTTAGGAAAAGGAAAATGGGTGGGGGTGAACAAGAAATAATCATGGTTTTTATAAACTTCATTAAGTTTCATGGTATTTTCCTACCAGCATGTTAAAAAGTTATAACACATGACAATAATGAAACATAATTTTAAAAAAATTTGCTTTGCACTAAAAATACCAATAAACTTAATAGATTGTAATAGATTGTTCTTTTTATGAAAAAGAACAGCTTGTATCCTGAAACTACATTCTTTCTTAAATCTTCAGCATGAGGGGAAAATAGTAATAAATGGTCTGTCAGGAAAAAAAAGGTTTTCAATGATTTGTTTAAAAATGTTAGAAAACAATACAATGCAAACATGATATCTCTAAACAGCAATTTGCCTTTGATTTTTATAATACAAATATTAAAATGAAATTTAAGATATTAAATGTGCTCTCTGAACATTCATCTAGAAAGGACACACTATTCAATTCATCATCTCATGCTGTTTTCCCTCAGGTTTTGTTTCTCACTGTATAAGAAGTATTACTTTAGTGTTTAGGACAACAAGAAGTAAAAGGCAATCAATTAGAAGAATCTTTTCAACTTGGAAAGGATCCACCATTTGATCCAGCTATCCCATTCCTCAGTTTATGCCCAAAGGACTTAAAATCAGCATACTATAGTGATGCAGCCCCATCAATGTTTATAGCAGCTCAATTCACAATAGCTAAACTATGGAACCCTTCAGTAGACAAATGGATGAAGAAAATGTGGTACATATACACAATGGAATATTACTCAGTCTTAAAGAAGAATGAAATTACGGCATTTGCAGGTAAATGGATGGAACTAGAGAATATCATACTAAGTGAAATAAGCCAATCCTAAAAATTAAAAAGCCAAATGTTATCTCTGATAAGTGGATGGTGATCCATAGTAGGGCATGGGGATAGGGAAGAATAAAGGAACTTTAGTTTGTGTACAGGGAAGTTGGGGAGTTAGGGGAGTGGGGGGTTGTGGGGATGGGAAGGACAATAGAAAGAGACAGACATTATTACCCTATACACATGTATGATTACACAAGTGGAGTGACTCTGAACCATGTACAGCCAGAGGAATGAGAAGTTGTGTTCCATTTGTGTACTATATGTCAAAATGCATTCTACTGTAAAATAAATAAAAAGAATCTTTTCAGAGGAAAAAAAGGCTGAACAAAACTGAAATAATAAAAGTCCAAATACTAGTGATGTGTAATTGGTTTATTTGAATCTTTAGATGAAGGTCACACGTTCCATTTTCAAGATAACGCACAAATTTAACAAAAATCATTGAAGTTAATGTAATCTGTTTTACAATAATCTTGATATTCATCCGTTATTTTATAACTATCTAACACTGAAAAGAATATATCAATTCAGGAAAAAAAGCCTTATAATTTGGTTACTTCTTAGACCATTTTAAGATGACGACCACGTTTCTACCACATAATCCTCAGTACAAATTTTGTGGGTTGAATAGCTAGCCCCAGAACAACCAAGTACACTCACCATGCCACAAAATTGCCACAAGAGAGAGAAAAAGAGAGAGACTGACATACAATGTAAATTTTGATTTCTTGGTAAAATTTTACTTTCAGCAATTTGTTAAAAGATTCCCCTCCACAGTTTCAATTGGATATAGCACTTAGGTATTGCTTTTTGCCATGAACTGTTATGAAGTCACTGTGAAGTGGTAGGATTAGAAATGAATTCTGTACATACATACATCTTGCTTTGCACAACAAGTACATGCCTAACAGTTAAAATAAATACAATTTATATAAATATAACCCAGTGGCTTATATTTTCAGAATTTTCTGATGTTGGCTGTGATCCCTCAAGATTTTCCATTTCCATTTGGTCTACATTCAACATCTCTGCTAAGTAGGTATGTATAAGCATGCACTTAAGTCATTTAGGAAGCTCCTCCATTTAAACAAAGCTGTCCAGCAGATTCCTACCCAATGCACAGAATTATCCCTAATGTTACCTATTTCATAATTATGAATGTCTATATTGGGGTTCCATTTAGTGGGTCTCATTTTACTTAAGTCAAGCAGAAGGCCTATTACATCTGTGTAAATATTCTTATAAGGAACTGGAACACCAAAGAATTAAATGTAGGGCATTGCTATTCAGGACCCAGGGACACAGGACATGTTTGCTCATGACAGTTTCTTACTCTCTGTTGTGATTCTTTATTTCAAGGCACATCTAGTGAAATGGAAGGTTAAATACTGACTTCTGTCAAACACTGCATCCATATTTCCTCTTGTTCTTTCCAACTTAAGTATGCTAGAGGTGTGAATAATTGAGTTATATATTTAATTTCTAGGAAATAAGTATGAAGAGAATAAAAAGGATGGATACAATTAGAAAAAAATAAGGAAATAGTAGAGCTTACTTACTATGATTTGTGTTTTTTTCCATAAGTGATCTAAAAAGTATAATGTTTAAACATACAAACCCTATTAGAAAAATGCCAAGGTCACAATTGTATGTTGAATGGGTGACAAACTACAACTCTACAATTGTCCATGCTGAGTTACGAGGTGCACTGCTCTTCGGTGAGTCCTGTATGTGCTGACCAACCCCACTCTACCTGGGCACAAACACAGGGACAGTAGCTTCCTCTCTAGCACTTATTAAAGCAAAAAGTTTTTCTTTGTTCTACCTCTTTAAAAGGAAACCAAAATGCACTTGTGAAAAAATTATTCTGTAGCAAGACCTTTGGGAACAATACCGCAGAGTGACCATCAGAGTGAGCTTAGTTGGACATCCTGGGCTGCTCATGAGTGTTTAGTTGCCTACTGCACAGGCTTGCTGTGAGGGTAATGAGATGATGCAAAGAAGGGACAAGGCCACACAAATACCAGATGCTCAATCAGGGCTGTATTATTACTGAAAGATGACTTTAAGTGGGTTGATTCTGGCTGTTCTATTAAGAAAAGTCTATAACCTGAGAAGTCACTTCACTTCTTTGGGCTTTCTGGAAACATCTGGTGTCCTTTTTGTTAGTCATCACTTTGAAGGAGGGCCTGGGATCCCACTTTTATCTCTACTAGGAATTCACTCATTCTTATAAATTTCATTTTTTTAATTTTCAGATTTCTCTTATGAATCAGATATTATTTCTTTAGATTAAACATTACTTTGCTATCTTGTCAAACATCTAGAAGTCTAAGAGCAAAGAAAATGATATCTTTCCCTCTCCTTTTGTCTACCTTTATGACATTATCATCTCCTGCTCTATCTCCTTAATTAATCTCTTCTGCCCCACAAGTGTCCTGTAACATTCCTTCAGATAGCAGCACCTGGGCCAGAGGACATAAGCACAGGCAGGTAAAGAGCCACGAGAGCTAGAGCTGTCTCTGAGGTGAGCTTCAGGGACCAGTGTTTGAGAAGGTTCCATAGGAAGCAAATGCATGAGTAGTTTCAAACTTAAGAAATGTATCACTCAAATGATTACCTTCGTGATGATGCCTCTTAGCATAGGACACAGATTCCCCTTCATGCTGTGCATGGAACTTCTGAATGCACCTTCTCACCAGATCTTCCCAGCCTGGTTTCATGGCTGCTCTCATGGTGCTAGTGTCCAGAGAAGTGATCTTGCCTGTGAGTTAATAGTAGGCATTATACTTATATTCTCATGTATTTTTTTTATGGAAATAATTAAATTTTAAAAACACCCAATTCTCTTATAGTTATCCCTCAATATCTGTTGAGGACTGGTTCTGGGACCTACCCAAGGATACCAAAATCCACGGATGCTGCTCAAGTCCTATATATAAAGTGGCCAAGTATGTGAATATAACCTATTCACATCCTCCATATACATTTTTCCCCCTTTCTTTCCGTTATTAGGAATTAAACCTGGGCTTTACCACTGAGCTTCATCCCCAGGCCTTTTAATTTTGAGATAGTCTCAATAGACTGCCCAGGCTGGCCTTGAACTTGTGTTCCTTCTGACTCAGTCTCTCTTGTTGCTGAGATTAGAGGTGAGTGCCACTGCACCCAGTTCCCTATACTTTTAAGTCATCTCTAGATTCTTTCCTAACACAATGTAAATGCCAAGTAAATATCTGTTATACTGTATTGTTTAAAAGAATAATGATAAGAAAAAAGTCTGCACATGTTCAGTTTAGACTTTTTCCCCTTGAATATTTCTGATTCATGGTTGGTGGAATCCAGATGCAGAACCCATGGCTAGAGGGTTCCTGGCTGTATTGGGAATTAGATAGCTCAAGTAAAAAGACCAAAAGGGTGTATAATGAGGCTTTTCTCTTCTCTCTGTTCTTCCAGCTTTTATAGTTCTACCTCAGCAAGCAATCACCATTATCATCTTCCTGATAGTCTTTTAAATATATTTGTTGCATTTACAAATATCTAAGTATTCTGAAATGATTTCTTTGGTCTTCTTTGTAAGAAAATTTACCTTGAAGATCCTGGCGAGTAGTAAAACTTTCTGATGAGGGAAGAACGGGCCTTTCCTTCATGGGGACTCTTCTTGCCACACAAATCAAGCAAGACTGCAAATCTTAAATCATATATATATTCATGTTTATCATATTAGGCTTTTTTAGTGATTCAAACAAACTTGAATACTTATGACAGTACAGACCTTGTAAATCAGTAAGGGAGAGAATGAGAAAATACTATGTATCTCAGCTTGTCACTGTCTTTATTCTCTCTTCAACTACAGTGGGAGATGGCTGCAGGAGGGGGGTGTGTGCTATGTAGGATGAGGTGGAAGCAGAGGATGAACTAAGCAACGTGTCATAGAAGTATATTTACTATAAACAGTTAACCATCAGAAACGAATTCCCCAGTGAAGAAATGAATATTTCTGAAGTGAATAGAATCCTTTCTTATTAAATGGCTGAAAGTAACAACCAGCTCAATTCATAATAAAATATAAAATGATGAAAACTAAAATCTGATACTCTGCTTTGTCATGGGTTGATTCTTGAGTTTTAGGTTTATCATGATATGAGAAAACTAGACATACTTTCTACCAAACCATGTAGGTGACCCTACAATGGCAATGAAAATTTAAAACCAAGAATATAAATTGAGTTAGGATGCAGATTCAGAGACAAATCTCAGGGTATCTAGAAAATTTAGTGTCCAACAGAATAGCTGCATTACAGTTCAGATTTTTGGCCATGGCTAGTTTCTCACACCATGAGCAGTTGTAGTTGGATACAATACCTTTATTTTATGTATTTATTTTTATGTGGTGCCGAGAATCAAACTCACTGCTTTGCATGTGCTAGATGAGTGCTTTAATGCTGAACCACAACCTTAGCCCCTCATCTTTTTTTAATGTGTCTTTTTCTTTCTTTCTTTTTTTTTTTTGTGGTACTGGAGATTGAATTCAGAGGTACTTTACCACTGAGATATGTCTCAAGCCCTTTCTATTTTGAGACAGGGTCTCACTGTGTGCCCAGGCAGGCCTGGAACTTGCAATTCTCCAGCCTCAGCCTCCTAAGTAGCTGAGATTACAGGCCTGGTGTCTTCTGATCACCTTATACCATTGATTTAAGATTGCTGGGAAAGAGTTTCATGAAATATATCAGGAAACAGCTGGTATCTCAAAATATAATCATCATCTGGGCTGATGGTTCAACAGGTTTGATTCCCAACACCAGAATTTGTTTTTTTAAAATAAGAATTGAAAACCTATCATCTTTACCAAAATGAAAGCTAAAGTTCTGGGCACTTAATATGAGATAAACATCTCTCTAACCACTTTACAGGTTATTAACTCATCTGATCCTCTAATAACTCTGAAGCAAGTAGTTGCAGTATTTCCATTTAACAGAGAAAGCCAAAGAGCCAAGTTTTAAGAAACTTGCCCAACAACACACAAAACTTTGGAGAAGCCAGGATTCAGACCTAAGCATACCCTGGCTCAGAAACACTGCTCTTATGCTCACTTGTTAACATACAGCATATGATTTTAGACATACTAAAAAAGTTTAGATATAAAACTGAGTTAATTTATTTTATTTCTTTTTTGGTACTGGGAATTAAACCCAGGAGCATTCTGCTTCTAAACTATATCCCAGTCCTTTGTTCAAATTTTATTTTGAGACAGAGTCTTACTAAGTTGCCCAGGTTGTGAATCTCTTGCCTCAGCCTCCCAAGTAGCTGGGATTACAAGTGTTTGCCACCACATCCAGATGTATCTTTTTTTTTTTTTTAAACTACTGAAACACACCCCCAGTCCTTTTCTTTCTTTCTTTTTCTTTTTTTTGAAAAAGGTTCTTGATAAATTGCTTAGGCTAGTCTCAAACTTGTGACCCTCCTACCTCAGCCTTCCAAGTCGGTGGCATTACAGGTGTGTTACCATGCCCAGCAGCAGAACCTTTTTAATGGTGCTTTAGAATATTATTATGGAAAAACTAGCAGCCTTTACTTTTGTTGTATAAAATAGAATAAAATAGTTTGATGTTCCATACTTAAGCAAAAGCTTAATTTTGAAGTACTATGTATCATCTACAATGGCTCTAATAATTCATTTCCAATAACAATTAAATTAAATTTAAAAATATTCACAGACTTTAAATTATAAGTATTAAATAACTAGTATTCAATGGCAATTACAGTTTGGGCACATTCATTTGAACCTTATATTCTGATGCTGATACTGGTGACTTCACTTGATAATAAACTGATACTAGAGAGGTTCAGGTCCAGAGGTCACAGCCACAGAGTTGGTAAGTGGCTGACTTAGGAGCTGGTCTATCTGATTATATAGCCCTCCACAAGTGGTCAGAAACATCCCTCCAGTAACTTTTCCCCTTCTGCTACACATACAGAATGCATTGTTTAACACTGTCTTGTACTACAGAGAGCGTCATTTTGCTATGTGGAATGGCTTGCTTAGAGGGTGGGATCACTGGGGATACTACATCAACAGTTCTTTGTGGGGAACAGCCTAGTGAGCTGAACCCTCTCTATCCTTTCTTAAGCACCATTCTATTACTGCCCATTGTGAACCTGGTGTCCATGGGTGAGCTATACAGATTCTAGTAGTCCCTTTTAAGTAATATGAAGAAAATATTTTTTGTACTTGTGTGCATCTTTCTAGGGCAGTGGTACCCAGTTTACATTAATGCCCAAAGAAAACTCTAGATGTCTAAATGTTAACCACTGTTAGAGGTACATTAATACAGTAGTCACTAGTCACAAGTGGCTATTTAAATTTAGTAGAAAAATTAGGCCCCCTACTTGCACTATTGACATTTCAAATGTTCGATAGCTACATGTAGATAGTGGTTGCCATGTTGGACACTGAAGATATGTCACCTCATCATTGCAGAAAATTTTACTGGCCAGCACTTTGTAGAGACTTAAAAATTCTTATTTATCTCCCAAAATAAGACAAACAAACAAACAAACAAACAAAAAAAAAACAAAGATCCTGCTTCTAAATTTTTCTTTGTGTGACTACTAGTTTTAGATTATTAAATGTGAAAGAAGTAGCACAGGAGTAAATACATAAACATATAACATGTCCTGAATGTTTTGTCTGACCTTCTCCTTCTTCTTTGATGGACTTTGGTTGAGAGACAGCAAAGCACTGCATAGTTTCATACTTCTGGTGTGCTTCCTGGTTATCATGACCTTCTTCTTCTGAATCAGGTAAAGGTTTTACCAGCATCCGGCAGTTGAAGGTATGGCTGTTCCGCCTAGGAGGTTCGCCAGACCAAGATCCCCCATTCACTGACAAGGCAAAAGCAACCCAATATTATAAAGAACTAACATCAGATTCACAGCTGCTAAATTATCAAAATGGTGGAGGAAAAAATAGTTATTTTACTTGAACATAGTGCTTTATGCATTTAAGTACTTTTCAATAAGCTTTATGCATTTATAAGTACTTTCAATATGCATTTATAAGTACTTTCTTGATTTAACAGTTTAATAATTAGGAAACATTGGGAGATTTTCAAAATGTCTTCTACAGTCCTTGCTCTTCACTCTGACTACTTTCCTTCAAGTTAATGCCTCGATTATTTACTACTAAAAAACCATGGTTCTTATTTTTGGGGTTTCCCATCTTTGATTTCTTGGAAATTTACTTCAATCTACTTGCATTCCAGTTTTAGAAGCATTACGCGCCTCCCACCACACACACTCAAAACTATATAAATGGCGTCAACCATTACATGCATATTTTTTTTTTTTAAAGAATTTGGACTTGCAGTCAGGAATATCAAGGCCACTTCACATAAGTCAAGACCTCACGGATTAGTCCCATCTCATCCATCTAAGCAGATCTTGCACATTCCCCAGCTCCTCCCGATATCCCACCACTCAGTCCCATGTGGATACATGCTCCTGCTGCTACTCTACCTAAAATCTCAGGCTGTCTCCATTTGTCCCTCCAAAGGTACTCATGTACTATGGCTAGGATCCTCTGTAATAAATACTTCACCAATTACAGACACCCCACAATACCTCCTCTTACAGATATTTCTTTACTAACATTTTACAGAATTTTAGTGTATACTTTGTAACTTGATGTTTCTGAATTAGTCTTGTAGTCTTTCTTCTTTTGTGTAAACTTCTTCAAGAAGACTGAAAAATCCTTGAAGACACAGTTGTTAATGTATTTCTTTTCAAGTGAAAAACTACAATCTTCTATTTTAATATCAAAACTAAAGAATGTATTTCAAGAAAGAGATTGAACTAAAGGAAAGACATAATTTTTCAAAAATACATTAGAGAAAACAATAAAAGATATAAAAGAATGACTGATTTAGGGTATTAAAGGATGTTTACAAACTAGATGAAAAAAAAGGATTCCCGTACAAGTGTTCAACTATTAGAAAAGCCAGAATCAGAATCAATACTAACTCATTTTAGGGCTCTCCTCACCATTCCCATATTTTATCTAAAACTTTTAGGACTAGCAGGACAGTGAAATAGGGGATAAAACTAGGGTGACCCATATGAAAAGCAAATATGCCCTCCAAAGTCACTAGATAGAAAGCACCTTGGACTATAGTTGTTATAGTAAACCCAGTGCCAAATCCATGGACACTAACTATAGAGGAATGAAAAAGAAAGAAACCCTAGAAAGAACATTTTTTAAAAAATCAGTTAATTGTAAGAAATTATTTTAAACTTATAAAGGGAACCACATATAGCTTTATGTCTCTGCAGACATTTGTTAAGTTTATTTCAGTAAGAGCATTTGTAAAGCTTATTTACATAATGGAGACTATGTAGAGCAATCTAAAATGATAGGGAAAGCTGGGTGTGGTGGTATATGCCTGTAATCTCAGTGACTTGGGAGGCTGAGGCGGGAGGATTGCAAGATGAATAAAATAAAACAAAATAAATAAAATAAAATGATAGGGAAAAGAGAATTCTTAACTAATTCTGGTTAATAAATAAGTTGAAAAATTTTAAAAAAAGGTACACTATAAAGTAAGGCAAACAGCTCTTTCAATAAGTGAATTAGTAAGTACAGGTCCTTTGAGGAAGTCATGAAATCACTGAAGAGATCTAAAAAAAACATTAGTTATGTGAAATAACAAATCCATTTTCTTGCTCATTTACTAGTAAATATAATAAAGGGATCCCACACAAATATTCATATCCTTTGTATTACTGTTGCAGTCACTTTGAACAAAGGGTTATCTTCAGGCAAAAGCTAGCCAGAGTGGAATTTGAAAATGATCTTTTCCTATTTACCGTGCTAACAATAAGACCAGCTAATATAAATAGTCTAAGAAAAAGAACAGAAATACTTGCCAACTCAAGACCTGACCTTATTCTGTATTAAAATATGCACATCTTTTTATCCGTGAAGATGTTCTTAGCATCATCAGTTTAAGTGAGAATATTTAAAAAAGAACCACTGAGTAAGTGGGAACAGCATACTCTTAAGGCGGCAACTAAGGTGGGTCCATGCTGTGAATCATCCACTTTAAAACGTGGCCCTTAATCATCACACACACTTTTGGGTAGCATCTCTAAAATAAGATGAAGAAGTTAGGAAATTTGAGACAGAGTGAATGGCTAAGGAGGCAGTGCCTGGCAGTGACACATGCTGGGCCACTAGTGAGTCTCAAAGAGCCGATCTGGGGCTATTAGGCTGATACCCTGGAACATCCATGCCACTTGTTCCTTAGGGTGTGATTTTTAGAACATCATACATACATACATCATAACCCTTTCACATACAGGACTCAAAATGAGCTGAATTTCAAACTTATCATGACCTTTTACTTCTCTATAAAAATGGACAAATTTGAGCTGGCATTGGCCAGGATGCGGCAATTTTTCACCTTCTTAAAAAACGACTAAAAACAAACTCCATGCAAATAGTTGCCATGAACACTTCCCATCTGAATCATTTTCATGTACCTAAATATAGGGTCAAATGATCATTCATTCAAGATGAGCATCTAAAGATGTGCTTTTTCCCAAGACTTCTAAAGCTTAAATATTTAACACAAGTGCCTCTTAAACAAATGAACAAACAAACAACAACAACAAATCCTATCGGGTCACTCTTAACCCCAACTGATGACTGCAATTCTATTTTACCCATTCCAATCAAGACAACGTGAGTAAGAGGGACGCGAGAGGAAGGAGAGGGAGGCCCAGCAGACAATCATTTACCTATAGACTTTGGCAGCAGGTTTTTGACAAATTCAGTGTGGTCCCCAACATGCAGGATGCTATATACACTTTTGTTCATCAGCTCTTCTTGGTTATACCTTAGATACTGTGTCACATTCTCTGAAACAAACACCACGTTGCCTTCCAGGTTCACTACAAAGAAGAACCCATCCAGGGCCTAAGGGAAAATTTTGACACAAATTATGTTAGAAAGGATGCAACAAAAAATTATATGCAATTGCTAAGAAGGGAGTGATCTCTTTAAGGTAAATGCTTAATTCACCAGTAGAGAGAAAAGAGATCTCCCTTGCCCCTTTCCTAGTTTTCAGAAACAATTAACACATTTTCTCTTGTGAAATAGAAATTATTCCATCTTAGTCAGTGGGAGACAGCCCACTACATCACGGTTTCTTGTCACAAACTAACACTAATTCTGTTAATTTAACAGGAGATAATTATTGCCAAATAAGTGTACAGGTGTTTACCTACATTTTCAAAATGAGATTAACGTATATTGGGCCAAGAACAGCTTTCATGTTACTATACAATACACAGTCATTTTGCTCTATAGTTTTTCATCTTATAATAAGAGGAGATGGTCAGTGATAATTTTTTCTCAGTTTAAAAATAAATATTAAGGGGAAAAAATACCCAAATTTTATTACTTTTAAAGCTACCAGAGTTTAAGCAAAAAGAATTACAGGTAAACTCAGGTTCTCAAAGAAATATTATTCCTTTATTGTTTGGTGTGTGTGTGTGTGTGGGCGGGGGGAAGGTAGGAAAGGGTCCCTGATTTGGCCATGGGACTTTGGCACACAGTCTGTGGTTTTACGCTAGATTATCAGGTGGATTCCTAAATACCTACAGAGCAGTAGCATGCTTCTTGCAATGGTTCATAGTCTCACTCTTTATTTCATTTCAATTTAGATTAGGGAAAGGGATGAGGAACTTAATATCATTTCAGAAAATAAAGATAACATTACTAGCTACTGTGAATGTTTATTGTGCCTTATACACATTGTGCCTCATTAATATTTTCAACTCTGGGAGGAATGTTTATCTTCACCAATTTACAGTAGAGAACACTGGGGCTGGAAGAGGTTAAGTGAATGTCCAAGTTAGTGGCAGGGATATGAAACCAGGCAGAACTTATTTGAAAGTTCATGGCTCAGGGACTAGGCAGCAGGGTGCTCTCTTCCACTGTTTACTGCTGTTTTTCCTCACGTCTGCATTGGCAGCAAAAAGGCTGGTGGTTTCAGTGAGTTTCTCCTGGTTACATTATCCTTCTTTTTCCTTTTAGAGTCTTACTGATCAGAGCCCTGTTGTAATGGGTCAGATGAATGATCAGGATAAGGAAAAGCTTGATGTTCATCAGGGCCACCTGGTATAGTCAGTTTATACCATTTAGTTTCCTCAGGATATAAGTTTGTTATTATTTCTAACATGAATGTACATGGGTATGTACATGTAGGATGGGGCCTGAAGTGTTTACTTTCTCCCTAATTTGTTTTTTCTTTATTATTTAACAGGTTCCTAACTTTGTGAGCTTAGAATACATGCCATCTTTGTTGTTGTCATTCTTTTTAGCTATACATGACAGTAGGACGTATTTTTACATGCCATTAAATTCTGTTTAACACAAAACTAAGTACATTTCTCAAACTAAAACCGATTATAGAGACCAGTGAGAGGTTCCCCTTCAAGAAAGATGTAACACTACTTGGTTTTAGGTTTTTCTTAAATATTCTGTCAGTTTTTCTCACTGTAGGCTAGTGCTAGCCCATGAGAACTGTGTGCCAAATGTGTGCACCAGCATGAGGGACAGAAAAGTAGCCAGTTGATTAGCTATGTACCAGTGTCCCCTTTAAATTCACTACTTTAAATTCACATTCAACAGGGATTTTCATAATCAGATTACCTATAGTTTACTTCTGAAAGTGTTATGTTGTTTTCTACTGCTTTCTATTATGGTGAAAAGACCGATCTGTTGCCTAATTATTTCATCTCATAAAACTGTTTGTGTTTTTATAAAGCTCACCATGATATGCTCTGATGAAAAAAGCTGACATTTGGTTTTGTTGCCTAGCAACCACTATGCTATGATGCAAGCATGAGTGTGCATCTATGCCTAGAAACAGCTCCGAGAGAACGTTTTCTCTGTTTAAATGATTACCCGTCAACAGGGATAGATTTAAATTTAAACCATAAGTCACTAGATTCAAGCACTAGCTGCCTAATATATTCAGCACTAAAATCCTGCTACATAAGTACTTGCTTAATACACTGTATTCTGAGATTATTTTGAAACAAACAAACAAAAATGTTGGTTTGATTTTATGAGATCAGCCCACTAACACCCAGCAATCTGATTTCTTCAATTAATGAACTCACTTTCAAAAGGCTTGAGTCACACAGTCTAATAGCTACTCCCAAGTATTTCTTTTTAGAAGCCTCAAAAGTATTCCTAGGAGTTTCCACTCTAAATTTTCCCCTCCAGACATAATAAATACACAGGTATATGGAAATTTCCCAATTGTAACAATTTAGATTATCATAATTTTCATATCAATTTTATTTGTAATTCAAAAGTTTTTCTAATGGAAATTATCTACTTGCTTTCATGTAATTCTAAACAGTCCACTTAGTTAGTTTTTATTATTTGCTGCTAAGATCCAAGTGGGAAGCAGCACTCTGGGCCCCTCCACTGCCTCCATGAGTATGGAAAATCAGGTTAAGTGTGTTTTTCTCTTTTCCTTGGAAATTGTGGTTGAATGTTTTCAAGCTAGTGATTCAAGAGAAGATAAACAAGAGCCAACACAGGGTCATTTAAAGCCTTTTGGCCAGCAGGTCCAGCCCCAGGGGATGAATTTTGTCATTTCTAAATACAAAGACCTGGTCAGATCTTTAATCTTTGCTGTCTCTCCCTCACCTCCCACCCCCAATTATATGGCAGATTTTCACAGAATTAGATTTTCTAAAAATAAAAATCATCTTATGCACCAACTAAAAAAAGGGGGTGGGGTGATAAGGTTGAGAGAGCATTAGTTATCTTTGTCTTAAAAACACTGCTGCAGCCAGCAGATCTAGAATGATGAGCATATGCTGCAAAGCTTCTGGCCTTGAAGTGCTTTTCAGCCTCACCATATTACCAGATGAGCAAATTATCCTAAGAAACAACATAATTTATGTTTCCAGTTTCCTGTTTCTTGTTATATATTCACTGGCATTTTTCCTCTCATCTTACCATAGCCTACATCTTGAACTTTAATTTTGGAACAGGTAGAGCAAAACATTTGATGTTTAGTACTAGTTAATAAAATAGGAAAACTGGATGCTACAAATTCTGAACAGTAGCTGGTCACAAAGCTTTCCAAAGTTAACAAAGAAGAGGTCCACACTTTTGTTTATCCTAGAAGTTCCTTCAGCTTAGTATTTCAATTTTCATGTTTATGAGATAAATGAGCTAGTTTGAAGTAGCATACATAAAAACATAAACTCTTTGGTTCTAAATTTAAAAAAATGAATTTTAAGAGAAATCATTTAACATGCAATTCTGTTCTAACTACTTCAAGTGCACTTATACCTATTGGTTCTAAAATTTTTACTTGTACATATAGACCTAGGAACACGGTTTATATAAAATGTAATAGGAGTTTGGGAAATATTTCACACTAAAATATAATAGGACCTGTGAATATAGTTTTCTAAAACCTGTCAATTTATATTATAATCTAGTTAATTTAATTCTATATTGTTTATTTCAAAAATACATATGCTCACACAAAGAGCCAGAACACAGGTACATACACGCATACTACTAAGGACATGATGTTGTAGTATTAGTGAAGATTTTTCTTAAGTGATATTCACCCGTAATAAAAAAAAAAATCACATGAAGGTCAACATTTTAAAATAAAGAACTAAAATGAGGGTAAGATACCTCCAGCATCATAGGCCCCAATGCATCCTTGTCGATGACGCCTTGCCCTGTAGATGACACATCTGACTTCTGCACTTCATCTATGTTGGCAGCTGCTGCTTTCTCTGCAACAAACATAAGTATGAATTAAATGGTGGTGCTATTTCAAGGGCAGAGTGACACAGAAATATTTTTATTATAGTGATTTAAAAAAACTCAAATGGGATCAGATATACCTATAAAAGAGAGCACATCCACACTGCCCCTGGACAAGAGAAGCATCTTGAAGTAGAAACTTAAGGAGACGTTACTTAAAAAGTTAAGTAGACGTTAACTTTCCACCTCCAGAACCTGTGGCTCTTTCAGACTGCTAAGAAAATGAGTTTAGAGGTTTCGTGCCAGTCCCTGACAGACACTTTTTCTAGATTATGAAACTGCTATATACTATGGCACAACTGGTTTCTACTCAAGAGATTCCCCAAACTAGGATAAAGGAGGGTCTGTTATTCAAAATTCAATGGCATAATCTGAGATATATTTGCACACATTTGAAGAAGAAATAACAAAGACCTGCTATGCCTGCCCCCACTTGACTCCACAAAGCCTTCCTTGAGTCTTACTGTTCTACTTTTGCCACATTCACCTTTAAAGTGACTGGGAAGATCTAGTCCCTACCTTATCCAAGGGATTTCATGATTTAAAGCAGAGGGAAGAGGAACCCTGTCCAGCTTTCAGGGAATGTCAATAGCTGTCCTTTGATCTAACATGCTCCTGGACTGAAACTCTAAGGAAGCTTTCAGACCTACATGGCCAGGAGCCAAGAGCCATTCTACTATGGATAACACTATTTTATAAAAAAGCTCACAGGAGAGAGATGCATATTTATCGAGTTATGTGTAAACTAGATATTTCTAGAGCACCAAAAGAGTTTAAAGTGTAACAGATATATATCAACAACTTGCTAGAAAAACAATGCACCAATTATTTGTACCTGAATAAATTATATCCTTATTTTCACTGCATGTTATCATCGTAATGAAAATGCAAAAAAAAAACCTCACAAAAAACCTTGTAACTCAATTTAGCACCCCTAATCAATCTGCTTTCCTGAGCTTGGTAATGGGCGATGGGGGATTTTATACAATATTTTTAAAATCTGTAAAGTCTAGTTTGTGGAATCTAGAAATAATTAGGAATCATTCAGATTCTCCAAATCTTGTTGCTCCCAAGCTTCCATGACGTATATTTATCAGTGAAAAGGGAAGATGACTTGTGTAATTCAAGTGCAAACTCAGCCACTTGGTAGAAGTACAACTCACAGCAAAACACTTTTAAGGCTTTGGTTTCCTTATCTCCTTTTGGATGTCAAATTGGATCAAGAACAAAGGGAATGATAGATAAAATACACTTTAAAAACTACAAAAACTTCATACTGTTTTGTATTGTGAGAGCTTAGTAGAAGAAACTGAGCTGTTTGCCTCTGTATATCCTCAGAATTGTCTTTCCTGAAAAACTAAGAAAATTTAAAACAAAAAACCACGAAGCTGTTTATAAATCTATTAGGTTACAGTATTTATATTTACTGCTTCTTTACTGAACTCCACGTGTAATTTCTTTGTAGAACTATCATAAGCAGATTGTACCTAATTTTCAACTACTCTGCTACCTTCCATATTTACTTCCTAAAAAACTGTGACTGTCTATAAACATATGACTTGTCCAGTAGCATTCATAGCTCAATACCATGCAGACGTGTCAATCCTTAACTTTCTTTTGGCCACATTCCCTGGTCCTTCACTACTAGGTCCTGGCTCTCTGTGGGTGTAGACTCGCCCCAATTCCTGAGCCAGTCCTTCCAGAGAAGGAGATATCAAAGTTCTCCAGTGAGAGGACACAAGACTGGCTCAGCTGATTATAGCATGTCTCCTCTTCCCTCCATTTTTTCATGGCCCAAAGATCCAGAATAATAAATGTACAATGGGACATATCTTCTGTCTTTTGGCCAGTTCACCTCTGAGCCAGAGATTTTTCCTCAGGTTCTGCTCACTTTCACATCTGCCAATACAGAGTCAGGACTTAAGCCATCACCTCCCTCACCTAATTCTGGTGGACATTTTGCTGACAGGCTGGCCTGGACTTTTCTCATATATCACACTGATATTCATGGAGTTCCCCTGGAGGTGAACAGGGCTTATACCTCTTAAATGGCCTGCATTATGAAGGTCCTTGCATGCCTCAGATTAAAGTCTGCATGAACTTCATCAGTACCAAATCTCAAAATCCATGGTACTGATATTATGAACATATGTGGTCCTGCATATTTTTATTTACTTATTTTTTGTCTTTAGTATGGTGGCAGTCAGTATGGAGGAGCAAGTCTGTAGCCTTTGCTTTGCATTCTCACCATCTACAGATGTACCATTCTCCTACCAGAAACATCCTTCAGCAGCAGCAGTGATTCTTAAATTGGAATGCTGTATGTGAAAAGACCCCTCCCCAGGGTATGTGCCAGAATTTGCAGTGGGAGCATGCACACAGATCAAAGGTTTTCCTTGCATGAGAATCTGATACATTCCTAAGGGGTATCCCCATTCTCCTACCTTCTGCAGTTCTAAAACAACACACTATAAGCCAAACTTCATTAAGTGGGGGGACTATCTGAATCCTCTCAACGGCTAGTACTGTCCTTATTTTAGAGTAGGTTCTAACTAAACATTTGGCATGCGACTGACAGACTCTCCACCATCACTAATCCCAGGAATAAGTGAAGTTGAAGGTGGATGGAAAGAGGAACCATTTTCCCACTATTTGCTTTGCTGGCCCTTCTGAGTACAGGGAGAAGACTGGAACAGGGAAGAGGTGAGCAGAGTCAAGGAACCTGAAGGCTAAGGATTCTTGGGGGAGAACTGGTCTTAAATAACAAATCATTTTGTTTTGACATATTAAGTTTCAAGTTATCTCATCTCTCAGGGCGCCAACTTCCATTCTTCCACTACTACAACTTGTCATTTCATTCCTTCAAAAAATGAATCTGGACTAGGAGTAAAGCTTGGGGTAGAATGCAAGGCACTAGCTAGGTTCAATCCCCAGTTCTGCCAACAACAAAGAAAAAAAGGAAGGAGGCTAAAGAATGGCCTTAAATTAGGTAATTGCTGGGGGAGAGTGAGAGATAAAGCATCAGCTGCTTATCAAAAGGCAACACTACTGCCATTGGCCCCTAGGAAACCTCAGGGTTGTCCTATGATATTCTGATATCACAATAGTTGTGATTTATTGCTTTCTATGGTGTCTATACTTATGCTACCTTTTAGGATAAAATAGTGTTTGTGATAATCCCCTATTATTGAATCTTTAGAAGATAAATCACTAGACTTGGTGAGGTATTTATATTTTAAGGATCTGATTATGATTCTTAGGACCTAAATTCATCTATTAATATTTTATGTGGAATTTGTAAAACTTAACAGTAAAATAATTCCATCAGACAGATTCCTAAACAATGATAAGTCCTTATGTCTGAGCATTCTAAATATTCTAGCAACATGCTCAAGCAAAGAATTTCATACTTTTATCAGAAGATATATTGAATAAGGACCAATTTGCATTGTATTTCATTATTAGGAATATACAGATCAGGTATAATTTGGGATAAGGACCTAAAAGTTAAATTAGGAGATGATCTATATCTGATAAAACATGTGTTTAGGGGTACTACTGGAAAATCTGGATAAAAATAATTCCCTGAAAATTATTTATAATAAATTACAAATATGCTTTTTCTCTTTTTCAAAGAATGTATCTTTAAATCTTTAAAAGAAAAACAACAACAACAACAACAAACAGCATATAAAACATTTAACAGAATGAGCAACCTATCTGAGTAAATGAGGAGGTCCAAGAGTGCTTTGGGTGGGTGCTGAGTACGCAGCCCGTAGAAGTGGAGTATACAACCTTTGCTGGCTGAAAGTTCACACACTTCAGTCAGGAAGCCAAAACAATTATGAGCAAACCAGATGACAACAGTAATGGGCTAAGCTGCAACAAACAATTTTAACTTCACAAAGCACAGAAAAATGGCTGGACATAGCTGAAAATATTTCATGTGCGTTAAAACTGAGCTGGAGTCCACAGGATATGCAAATAGATGGCAACAAAGAAATGGGTGGAAACGGATGTGTGTCACTGGGTCACTAGGAGATCTCAGCCTAGCCTTGGAAATCAATATTTAGGAATACTGACAAAAATTTCATCTAATCTGGAGCACTAGTAACCTAACTAAAAACGAAACTATAGGGCTGAGGCTGTAGCTCAGTGGCAGAGCACTTGCCTAGCATGCATGAGGCACTGGGTTGGATCCTTAGCACCACATATAAATAAACAAATCAAAGCATTCTATCCATCTACAGTTACACACACACACACACACACACACACAAAAGAAACTACAAATATTTTCACAAGATCAATTTGAAATTATATTAGTGGAACATGGAACATGTGACTTGAAAGAAAACTCCAACTAAGTCTGTAGATTAATTGCAAGAGGATTCTTAAAAAATATTGCAATTTTTACATATATGAAATTTATGTACATTAAAAGAATGAGGAATTTTCATTACTATGTGAACAAAATAAACATGAGCCAAAGGGTAAGAACTTGGGGCATTTTTTTACTCCTGTTCTCAGAAGAATGTTCAGAATATGAATATTTTCTAACCAATTTGTTATCTATTTTTCAATTCTGTACTGAATTTGTGCTTTGATCATTTCTCAATATTAAACATAAATCAATCATACGAAGAGATAGAAAACACCCAGAAATATGGCTTTACCAAATTAACTGGAATCTAAATTAAACTGGCACTGAATTGATGCTATTTGGGTACTTTTCATGAAATAATTGCCACTTCTCTTCAATGTTCGGTTAAACCTTGAAATTAAATAGGAGGAGGGGGAAGGTTAGGAGAAGGAAGACGAGAAGGACTCCTTTGAGAATACACCATTATGTTAACGGGACATATACTGGTATCTTGACAGAGCATTTCAGTAACGAGTATGCTATTTTTATGTTCCAGATAAAAATAAGCTTAAATCCTTAGATATATTTATACTTCTGTAAGTACAG